CTTCTTGGCACACGTAGACACTGCAGCTTTGTCGTCACTTAGCTTTCTCAGTACATTTCCTTTCCTTTCTGGCTAGATTATACTTTAATCCAGTTGTTTTCATGTTCAGTAAATCCAAACCATGTTTAACCGGTTTATTCATGTGAAGAGTCTCTGAGGTGAAGAAAGTTTTGTCTTTTCAACCGCACTGGGGATTTGCTGTCTTCTTTCTGCAAAGGGATTTTCCTGGACCTGTAATCTGAACACTTTGACCTGCTGGTTGTTGTTTTTTTCCCCCACTATGAGCAAATTTGTGAGGCTTGACCCTTTGTGTGCTGGGGAGCAGAGACAATGGCCTTCTGTGAATATTGTCTCCTGAGGACAGTAGTGACTGAAGTTAGGAATGTTATTCATTTGCTATCACTTCTTCAGAGCCTTGCTGCTTCTGCTGATAGCAGTCACCCCATGGGCCTTGGCTGTACCCTTCAGAATGGACCACATTCTGTTGGCAGCATTCTAGAGAAGTTTGTTCATGAATATTTTGGAAGTTGACAGTCTGACTTAAACTGAAGTAAACTGGTCTCTCAGACAACAGTCTGTGTTGGTGAAATGACAAGCCCTCGTACGCAGTGTCTGGCAGGAGGCTAAATTGGCACACCCTTCACAGAAGGCAATTTGGCAATAAGCATCAAAACTATATGCCCAGGAATTTCACTTCCAGGAATTTATCTCACAGACATACTTTCTGTTTTGAGGAATGATATTTATACAATATAGATATTTTCTCTGCTTATTAATTGAATATCTCAAAACAAGCCACATTGGTTGCCTGGTTGGGGGCACTGGGTAGGTGCCCCAAGGATGAGGAGGCGAGAGGAAAAAGCCTTTTTATTTTGGAATAATTTCAGATCTACAGAAAAGCTGCAAAGGTAATACAAAGAGTTTCCATGTACCCCCTCACTCAGTTTCCCCTTATCTTATATGACCAAAACATTTTGTCAAAATTAAGAAGCCAGCCTTGGTACATTACTATTAACTAAACTCCAAACTGACTTTCACCAGCTTTTCTACTAACATGCTTTCTGTCCCGGGATCCCACCCAGAACACCCAATACATTTATTTGTCATGTCTCTCTAATCTCTTCTGCTCTGTGACATGTACACATACCCTGTAGAATTTTTTGGATCTGTATCATATGACTATTAACTATTCAAGAATAAGTAAAGTTTTTAAATTAACTAGACTTATAAACTCATACAACATTAGAACTGTAAGGAATCTTAGAAGCAATTCCATCTAAGCGTCTCATTTCTCAGATGCAGGAAGGGACTTGGCCAAGGCCTCGCTTAACAGCAGACCCAGAGCCCAGGCTAAAAACCAAGAGGTGAGCTGAGGACTAGTAGAAAGGGGATAAGCTTTAAAGTCACTCAGACTTGGCCTCAAATCCCAGCTCTGTATCCTTGGGCCAGCGCTCTCTTTTGTCTGGATTATTTTGTTCAAAATAACGTTTTAAAATTCAATCATGTTGTGCATGTGTCAGTAATTTGCTTAAAAGGCCAAACAAAGGAAAAAACAGTTCTTTAAGGGAGCAGTCATGATTTCTAAGAATTTGTTGAGAAAATGTGTTGGGACTTCCCTAGTGGTCCACTGGTTAAGAATCCACCTTCCAATGGGATGCGGGTTCAATCCCTGGTCAGGGAACTAAGTTCCCACGTGTTTTGGGCCAACCCAGGTGCCGCAACTAAGACTCAATGCAGCCAAATATATAATTTTTTTTTTTTTTAAGAAAATGTGTTTTCCATCCTTGATCTCTGTTTTGCAGTTTGTTTTGTTTTGACCACACTATGCAGCTTACAGGATGTCAGTTCCCTAATCGGGTTCTGAACCTGGGCCATGGCAGTGACAGCCCAGAATCCTAACCACTAGGCAACCAGCAAACTAGAGCTCTAGTTCTTATGCAGAAATATGACACCACTGGCCAGACTTTTTTCCCTTCCTGGGAGCATGCAAGTACATTGAGTCCTGGGGTCCCAATATTGCCGAGGGGGCGGCACTTGGAAGGAGCCCTGGGAGATGAGTGAGAAGAAAAGTAAGCTCCTGATAAACACACTAACTCAGTAGACACATTCCATATTAAAAAGCAGGGGACTGGTCTTTTATGTGGACTGCAAAATTCAGATGTAGAAGCTGGGGAGCTTCTGGGTTCAGAGCAACGGTATGATCTGATTATCTTAGGCAGATACAGCACCTGCCTAAGCCTATGGTGCTGGGACCACCTGCATCAGGATTGTCAAAATGCAGATGCCCAGGCCCCACCTCACACTTGCTGAATCCCAGTCTCAAGAAGTGGGAACCAGGAAACTATATTTTAACATTTTCCATGGGTAATGTTAAACATTTTAACAATATTTCCATGTTGTTCCATATAATATAAACTTATTTTATTAAACATTTGGGTTAATAATTATCCAAAATAGTGAAAGGGGAAAACTATGGCATACACCAAGTATCAGAATTATTATGCCAGCACCAAAAAGAATTCTGAAGTTTCACAGATACTATAAAAATGAGAGCAATAGAATGTTAAGAGTAATGTCAGAATGGAAAATATGTTCACTGATTATGTTAAAATATACAGGTATACATGTAAGAACCCCAAAAAAAGGTAAAAATAAAAATAGTGTAAGGGAGGTGGAATTATAGATAATTTTCCCCTCCAAATTTCTTGTATTACTATCAAATAAAAGTCACTTTTAATGCTATGTTTTATTTATTTAAAAAATTACTACTCCTTCACCTCTGGCCCACCTACATGTATGTATGAGATATTCCACTAGGCACTGTGTGTAGCAGAAACTGAATGAGCCCCCTAATCCTCCCAAGAGGGAAAAGACTCTCAGGGCCACCCTGATCACCAGCTCCCAGTATGCAGGAGGAAGCCTGGAGGCAATCTGGGCGGGGTGATGGGGGACAGAGTATGATTGCTCCATGCTCAGCTGCTGTTTATGGGGTTCCAAGGTATCTCTAAGGCTTCCCAGGTGGCACAGTGGTAAAGAATTCACCTTTACCTAGAGACCCAGAGCAGGAGACCTGGGCTCAATCCCTGGATCGGGAAGATCCCCCGGAGGAGGGCATGGCAACCCACTCTAGTATTCTTGCCTGGAGAATCCCATGGACAGAGGAGCTTGGTGGGCTACAGTCCATAGGGTTGCAAAGAGTCGGAAACGAGTGAGTGACCAAGCACACACACAAGGTATCTCTAAGCAAGGGTTTCACGGAGGAGGAATGTGTCATTCCCTCAGGCTTGACAGCCTTTAACCTCACTTCTGAACTACAGATAATCCTGCCCGACTGCTCCTCCCTGACGAGACTGAAGCTGCCCAGTGTATAAAGAATCCACTGATCTTTCCTATTGCTCTCTTCAGAATCTGAGGAGACCTTCCTTTCAACTTCAGAGAGCTTGGGGTAGGCAAGGGGTAGCCTGAAGCACTGCTGGCAAAGAACTGGTTTCCTCCCTTTGATATTCAGCGCAGATGACTGCTGGGAGCTTACTGACCCCTGGGGAGCTGGTCACAAAGAGCTGAAGGAGTCAGTTGGAGGAGGCGCAGCCCTCCCTGCACACCAGCTCTCCCCTCCTCCAGCCTGCTCACCGCCCCTGGATGCCCTGCTTCGAATCACAGGCTGCTGCCAATTACAAAAGCACTCTTAACTCTGTTTCACAGCCCCTTGATTGATGGCACTGGTGAGTGAAATTATAAGCCTTAATGATCACGTTAATTTCTGGGGAAAGGGAAGCGGTCAGAAGAGGTTCTCAATCATAAGCACCACAATCAGCTGGGTGAGTTCAATGACAGGCTAGAGCAGGGATAAAGGGGAAAGAATTAACTTTTTTAAAGGTCACCATTGCGTAGGGGGAAAGCAACCAGGCATGAGGAACGAGGGACAGAGGATCTGGGAGCCTGAATGTGACTCCAGCCCCAGGTCTTCCAACCAAAGACCACATCAGGGCTTCTCATCCTTAGATGCACACTGGAATCATTGGGGAATTTTCAAATACCTGGGCCCTTCCTCAGAGATTCCGGTGTACTTGCACTGGTGTGAATGCAGCCTAGGCACTGAGCAGTTCAAAAGCTACCAAAGTGATTCTATGTGGAGCCAAGTTTGAAAACTCCTTGTCCAAATGAAAGGATTCAGTGAGCAAATAGTCAAGGTTGAGCACCTTTGGAAATCCAATCCATCTCATTAGTTGGTGCCCCCAAAGAGGAAGGGAAATTAGGCATCATTAAGCCTAGTGCTCCTTTGCACAGATGAAAACACTGATGTGCAGAGAGGTTAACTGACTTGCCTGAGATCACATTGGTCATAACTAGAACCCAGGTCTCCTCATCCTGGCCAGCACTCCTTCCTCCAGGCTCATGGCTGGGTTAGTGCAAAGATGCCCTAGATAACACTTGTGGGACAAGAGCTGGGATCTGTTCTCCAGCCTTCACAGTGGAGGACCCCAGGCCTCCACCACCACTTGCTCAGTGTCCTGAGACATAACCACTGAAGGACTTTAGAGATACTAGGGCCACAGACAGACTTAGGCTGACTCCTTGAGGATCAAACCTATGAGTTTGGCTTCCTCAGTACTTGACCCTACTCACAGTTTCCCAGCAGAATATTGCAACACTTTGGTACGTCAGAAAGATGCCTAGGCTATGTGGCAACACCCTGGTTTCTCCACTGGAGAGAATGTCCTCTGCACACTGCTGACAAGTCCAGCTCAGCAGTGGTACAAAACGCTGACCACCCTCCCCAGTGGTTTATATGCAAGTCAGAAGTATTCAGAGGGGGGAAGAAAATCACTTCATGTTCCAAAATGAGCTTCAAAAATCTAAAATTGTGATTTAAAATACAGACTACATTAAAAAAAATTAAGCCATGTGTCATAAAGGTTCTGGAACTACTCAAAGAGAGTTATTATTATTCTTCAGTTTCCATACACTTTTTTTTTCCTTTTTTTTTTGCACTATCTTAGTTCCCTGACCAGGGATTGAACCCAGGCCACTGTAGTGAAAACCCAGAATCCTAACCACTGGACCATCAGGGATCTCCCCCTGTAAGCAATTATAAAAAATGTTATTGTAAAATGAATGATTTGAAAGTCTTAGAGAAGCTTCTCAGCACCAGAAAGTGTCTGTCAAGTTCTTTCTATATTTTCATTTATCCAATGTCTCTCAGCCTTCATCATGATATGGGTACTGTCAAAAGTTCATATAAGTGGCCTGGACTGCAAAATTTAGGGAACCAAGCTCTAACCATGGGTGCAAAGTGAAACCTACTTCATCAGTCCACTAGCAGAGGCATATTCATAATTGAAACATATGTATGCTCTGTATTTTTCTAACAGCTTCTGAAGTGTTCATCAAGCCTGTGTCTGATTAAGCACTTTTAAATTCTGAGCAATGCAGTGGGCTCTCTCACACCCTCTTGGCAGGAGTGCAAATTGATGCAACCCTTTTGGAGAGCCATTTGGTTGTATGTATCAAAATTAAAAATGCATACAATCTTTTTGACCCAGAAATACCACTTCTAAGAATTTATCCTACAGAAAAACCCCACAAGTTCACAGAAGTGTACATAGAAGGATGGCACTTTGTAGTTTAATTTATGACAGTAAAAAAACTGCAAGCAACCCAAGTCTACCAGTAAGGAATTTGCTGGGTAAACTATAGTCCATACAATGAAATACTGGGCAGATGGTAACACGAATGAGGTAGAGCCATATGTACCATCAGGAGAGTCACACATACACACGTAACTTGCAGAAAAGTAGACAGTTTCCTTTTTTTTCTGCTCTCTATCTTGTTTGTTTTTCCCCCAGTTGTATTTAGAAATAATTGACATATGTCACTTATAAGTTTAAGTTGCACAGCATGATGGTTTGATTTACATGTACTATGAAATGATTACCACAATAGGTTTAGTTAAGATCTATCATCTCATAAATAAAAAGAAAAAAGCAATTTTTAAATTTATAAATATTATGAGATGAAGATTTAGTACCTCCACCACTCCTCCCTCATCTTCTTCCCAAAATTTTATCATACTTTTAATTATACCAATAATTAGCATTTGCATCATTATAACAATGTGAATATTGTTCACTATACAACCTATTAGAATACTGTGATTTTATGTCCTTTCTTTTTTTAAAGCTGAGATATAATTGAGCTACAAAACTATGTCAGATACAGGTACACAACATAGTGATTTGATATTTCTTTACATTACAAAACAGTCTCCACAGAAGCTTTCTATTTTTATATAAATGATTAAAGACAGCAACCCCCAGGCTGGTCTCTAGCCAGTGGGTTCTGTGCTCCTAAATTGTACAGAAACCTTGAACTGTAAGTGGTAAACTGGGAATCTCAATTAAGTTTCTAAACATCCTCCATTCTCTGTTTTCCAGAATCAAAAAACAACTAAAAGTAATTCAAACACAAATGTGAGACTCCATATCTAATTGTCATTGTATGCAAATACTACTTTAAGATGACCCTCCTAGATTTAGAAAAAAAATTTGTCAAAGGAGAAGCACTAAAGACTGTTCTTTGACTGCTGTCATCACTTGACTGGGTTCATCTTCTCTTACTTGTATATTCAAATTGTATATATTGAAACTGCATTATCTGAAATTTGTATATTCCAAGACAACTGTGGCACCTCCCCCACAATACCAGCCCTAAGAGAATGTCTGCCTTAAAATCCAAGCAAGCAGTGAGATTCTTAAAGTATCCAGCCTGCATACAGCAGAGATTCCAAAATCCCAGAAGACATTGCTACTGGATTTTTAATTCTGGGCTTTGTCAAATATTGAAAGCGAGGGTTTTGTTTTGCTTTTAAACTATAGTTGATTTATGACAGCCAAGTTTGATTCTTCTATGTAATGGCAGAGATGCCCCCAAACAAAGGCAATTCCATTGGGAAATCAGTATTTTGTGACATGTTACAAGAAACTTACTCCCTTTTAACTTTGCTGAGAATATTTCAAACAGAATTAAAGCAGATTAGGACTGCAATAGCTTTTATTACAGGTCAGTGAGTCCCTCCTCTTCCATGAGAAGCACACACTCCCAGTCCCCGTGAGGTTGGGTTTGGCCATGTGTTTGTGTTTGGCTTTGGCCTGTGGAATGTGAATGCATGTGATGGGAGCAGCAGCTTTAAATGTGTTTGCATGGTTTGGCTCAGCCCCTTGCACTTTCGCACTCTGCCACACAAGTAAGTTGCTCTGGAGAAGATGCTAGTCCGGAATGAAGAAACCCTGGATCCCATTTGCACCCAAGCTGTAGCCAGGTGCCCAGCCCGGCAGTCCCATGAACAAGAAACACAGGTTTGTTGTTGGAAGTAATTCAGCATTTTTGAAGTGAAAATTGACTAATATGTGGATGGACAGCCTTAAATCCATTGCTATTCTTTACCAAATCTTGCCATTGATCTTATATTTGTTTCCAAGTCTCTTTTGTCTTATGAAATAGACCATTTCAGAAACATTTGAGGGAGGGTCCTCCTGATACCCTTCACCAATCCCACCATTCCCAAAGGTAACCACTATCATAGTTAGTTTTTACCACATTCATGTTTGTTTTTAACATATGCTATACATTTGTATATCTATAAACATGGTGGAGTATTGTTCTGTAGGTTGCAAAACTTTATATAAAAACCAATCTTTGTATCCTCCGGGATTCATATACCACCACTCCCAACATCATATTCCAGATTTGCCCATGTTATACATCAGCTCTAGTCCATTCACTTTAACTATTGTAACACCATCTGTATTTACTGCAATGTGTCTATTCTCTACAATATTGAAAAGAACATTCTTGTACACGTTTTTTAGTATCTTGCTTTTCTTTAAGAGGAACTTCTCTTTCTCAGTGGAATCAGTGGAATAGGAGTGGATGGCTGACTGAACTTCCACACATGCTATCTACCAAGCCAATTTAATCAAGAGATGCAAGTATCTCTGCTCCGAACTCTTGGTGGAGATGTTGCCCAGGAGGAACCCAAAGTGCCTGTGGTCTTCAGCACCTCTGATTTCCATCACTGGCTTCTGGCTGTGGGACCAGTGCCCTGAGATTTGCTGGGAACATCTCAACTCACTTTCTACTGCTCCTTGCATGTCTTACTCACCAATATGGTTCTTCACACTTTATCTTTTTTTATCATTAAATAATTCTTAAGTTCCTGGTCAGGACTGAAATGTTGGCAAGAGAGTTAGAGACTGAGGAGTAAGTGAATGAAGACTCTGTTAATCGGCCTCTTTCTTCCTCACACAGCAATTTTTCTAACAGATGCAATTACATTTGAGAGCGGCGGAGAATGGAATCTTATGTTTTATTTCTTTATTCATCGTTTTACAAATGGGATTCACTGTAAAAAGGAAATTGCCTTTGTGGTTCAGTTCTTCAGGCTGCAGTGCTCTGAGCTTCAGTTTTTACACCAGCTGCCACTGCTACCTTGCCTCTAGTGGATGAGGACTGGCCAGGGATGGAGGCTAAGAAACCAGGCAGAGTTCATTTAAATTCAATATATTTTTTATTCTTTGTAAATACAATGAGTACAACCTTTTAACTTCACAAATCAGTTAATTCCACTTTGTACAAGGAAAGTTTTACTCATCCTATAATAGTCCAAGTGCTGAATATTTTTCCTCAGTGCTAGTACCTAATAAATCAAAATGTGAAAAGTACAGCAGCTATTTTATAATGTTTGTTTCTACACTTCCATAAGTAGAGATTCATACCAAAGGAGCAGCTTACAGTGTAGGACGAAGTGTGTGTGTGTGCATGTGCAGGCATTCAAAGCTTTACTAGAAACCAGTTTTCTGAAAGGCATTGAAGAGTCTCAAGCTGTTAGCAATGGATCAAGAAGCCTTTTAGCATCCATCACCTTGAAATTCCTTCTGGTCTCATGTCTCTGTTCATTTACTATCTGGTGTGACTCACTGAAACATGAGTTTGGACCCCCATTGCCTTTGGTTTCAGCACTATGTTAATAGGACAGCAGTCTGCCTCACTCCATCATTCATCTCCACTTTATTTGGTTTTGCTGTTTTTATTCATCCTCCCGCGACTTGGGTTCTTTTAGTAAAGCTCTTCTAATTTTGAGATGTTATCCAACCTGAAGTTGTGGTAAGAATCTCATTTTCATCCACCGATTCCTTTGACAAGGTTGCCTGGCCTATGGTACTGAGAAAGAGGAGGAGGAGGGGAGAAGGAAGGGGAGAGAGAAGGGAAGGGGAAGGAGGAGGAGGCAAGAAAAAGAAAGGAAAAAGACAGAGAAAAAGCAAATCTCACAGCATAAGCTACCCTTCACATATTAATTCAGTTCTGAAGGCCACTTTATGATGCAGTACAATAGAAGGGAAACTTTTGATAAAACTTTTGATTTAAAACCTAACCATTATTTTTAAAATAAATTCTTCAACATAAAATAGTTCTGAAGGCTGCTGTATGATGTTATACACAGAGCTATATTTGGTTACCCAACTTTATATGCTAAAAGGGAAAAGAAAGTTCTACTTATGTTTCAGCTATTGGTAGTTCAGCCTGATCTTCCAGGTAAGAGGCAGAATGGCACGGTCTGTGGCAACCCCAAATTCGGCCCCCTCCCAGGGCATGGCAGCAGGGAGTCCTCTCTGCTCAGGCGATCCTTCTACACCCCATTCCTTCCAGGCTGCCCTACCTTGGGTGAGGCAGCAGGTCAGAGCTACTGGAATCATTTCGTGTCAATTGACATTTCTTTTCTGAAGGCTACACATTTCCAGGTTTATGCTTCCTGAAGGGTTAGTTGAGGTTTGTTCTCCATGGGTAGAAGTTCATCAGATACTGTCCCATCCTGAAAACTGGGGACTCGGAGAGCTTAGATATCACTGGATTTGTACATATCTGAAAGCAGTCTTGTAATTGGCACATTGCCGATGGTTTTTTTGAAAAACACTTCCTCTATGGTTGATGGGCTAATAGAACGTAAAGCTGGCAAAAGTAACAGGAGTTTTCCAAAGCGACAAGGTTGAGTGGGGTATCTGGAATAGGAGAAGCCATGAAAGCAAGGTAAGATCCATCATGAACAGGCTTAATATCTGTCCTTGAACACACATCATCTTCAGCATAACTTCCTGACTGAGCCTCTTTAATAACATACTACAGGGTCCTATCCAGGCGGTACTGTCCCTATTCGGCAGGTGGAATAACAGGCACAGAGAACATAATGACACTGCCAAAAGCACATGGTGACAGTCTCATCATTAGCACAGGGGTTGCATTTTATTTGGAAAAAAAAAATCATTTTAAGAAATATGGTACTCAATTTAGACCAAATAATAAACTTAAGGTTGCTAGTATAGACACCAACCACTAGTACTGATGAAAAAACTAGTGACAACATCCACATTTTCTGATTCTCAAGACTCCTTCACCAGGCTATTTCCCTCAAATGAAATGGATTCCTTTTCCGACCAATTATCCAAATTATTATTCAGGCACTATACTTAGTCACTCTCAGGAATAATTCCATCTTTATTACACTGCAAATTAAAGACTAAGCTGTGTTGCATGGCACTGACACCCAACTTTCACGTCAATGAAATTGGCATATAATTAAAGATGTGAGAAATTGCTGAACAATTTCCTCTCTTGATGTCCAACATATATCTGTACTCAGATGTGCAAGTTCAATCTTCTGCTGCTTTTAGATGCCTATAAGCCACCTCCTCACTGCAGCTCTGATGCCTCTTCAGTCTATAGCTTAGAATCAGGTTACCAATATAGGAGGGCTCCCTCCACTGACACAAACCACCCAAGACTGAACTTTAGAGACACTTATCTGTGACTCAGCCAGGTTCAACTCATGGCCACAAGTGCTAGAAACTGACAGATATCGTATCCTACAGAGGAGTTAGGTAACCAAACATTGAGTTTAAATGCCCAATAACCCCACTGTGCAGAGACCAGGGGAACAACTTTCATGCTTGTCTCTAAGTTTTGAGCACAAGAGAGTCCCTCTCTTCAACCTGATGCTAGGCTGACAATTCATTCTGGGCCTCTGAGGATCTCATTTGGCTCTTTCCTTGCCCAGCCAGACCACATTTAAAAATGTGGAATGGGCATGGTGGAACCTCCCCACAGGAGAGGAAAAAAAAACACATAAATTGCATTTGCTCTCCTTGCTGAAAGCTCTCCTGTGTTTCCTGGAAAGTAGAGGAAGACCCATGTTCCCCTTTCTCCTTGGCCACTTACTCTCTTCAACAACTCTGTTTTCTTTCCCAGGCAGGCAGAGGAGAGAAGCCCCTGCAGTGGGTGAGAAGTAGTGGTGGCCTAGACAAGCCCCCATCGTGTCTGCAGCAACCACTCAACCTGCTCATGTTTCCCCTAGTGAGAAAACACTGGGAAATAATGACCGAAAGGATGGCTTTTGGAGACTTCATAGACAATTAACTCTTGATTTTCTGTGAATAGACTATCCACTCACCTACTCACCCACTTCTTTTATCCTCTAGTTAGGAAGGGGCTGGTTAGTCAGTCAACACAAATTAAGTGTTTATTATATGTGGAGTACTGTACTACCCAGAAACAATAACCATGTGTATGTGTGTGTGTGAGACAGAGACAGAGAGAGAAGGAAAGAAAGAGGCTCTCTGACTATTCAAAATTATTTTGAAGAATATCTAGGCCCCTGACTCCATCTATCAGCATACATAACAGGAAGTTTTCTTGTTTCAGGTGTAACTGTCCTGTGTCTGTCTCAGATCCATGTATCTGACTGTCAGTTATACAGTTTATTACATGTAACTAAACTGTTCATTATTATATATGGTTATTACACATAGTCATATATAGTTTGTGTGAAATGCCAATTTCTATCCCTCTCCTTATGTCCTAGATAATTAGAGAAATCACTTACAGGGCTGTAATAGTTAGGTCAGTTTGCAGGTTTAACAATTAATGAACAATTAGCTCAGTTTGCAACATTAACTTTTCATTTAGATTTCAGATTCTTCTAGACAGGAAAGTGCTAGAGGAGAATATTCACTGACTTGAAGGATCTAAGAAGGTATAGTTTTGTCACATTTATGACTCTAGACATTAATATTAAATTATAGCTATAGCTGATATCATGAAATACAAAGCTCATGTCAAAGTAGATATGTTCCTTCCCTTAATAATTTCTTTGTTTTGAGGGTAAGGGAGAAGTAGTATACTTGTCATTTCTCCAAAATAGACTTCTGTTAATTTGTGGTTTAATGCTCTCAGTCGTTTCAGTCACGTCTGACTGTGCGACTCTACAGACTGACTATAGCCCCCCAGGCTCCTCTGTCATGGGATTCCTCTAGGCGAGTATACTGGAGCGGATTGCCACACCCTCCACCAGGGGGTCTTCCCAACCCAGGGATAAAACCTACTTCTGTTACAACTCCTGAATTGGCAGGCAGGTTCTTTGCCACTAATGCCACCCGGGAAGCCCTTAAAGCTCTCAAGTCGTCCTAAAAGCAGCTCTCGAAATGTCAGGTTCTCTCAGACTCTTCCTACTCCCTCTCTGGCGCCTCCCCTGGCACCTCTACCAGCCCTTTCTCTGGCTCCTGTTGGTCACCTTCTCCCCTGCTGGAATCCAAGGACCATTCACATCTCTTCTCCACCCACCAGCCTTTCAGATTTTTTTTCCCACTCCACCCAACTAGAATTCATCTCTTTCACTCCCCACTTCCCCTTTTCTCTTCCCTGGTCTGATGAACACTTCTGCCTACTTCCTGCAATGATAATGGACAGTCCTTTCTCGTGTCCCACAGTGCTCACGAGTCACCCTACACAAATTGAGTACTCAGCAAGGGCTGGATCAATACCTAGTATCATATTCTTTCAGTGTGATGTTCTTTATACCTTAAAGACTCTGTCAGAGGTCAGTTATGTCATACAAGTTAGTTTTTAATGGGGGGAAAAGTGCCCAAATTATATACTGCTCCATTTTATAATTCTGAACAAGTCTTAAGTGTTTACTATATACATTCTAAAATTTAATGTGGATTTTTTTTTCTATCTATTAATTAAATTTTTTTTCCCATTTATTTTTATTAGTTGGAGGCTAATTACTATACATCATTGCAGTGGTTTTTGTCATACATTGAAATGAATTAGCCATGGATTTACATGTATTTAATGTGGATTTTAAATTTAAAAGCCATGGGACTTTAGTTTGGAAAAACATATACATGCACTATCACACATCACAGTTTCAGTGATGTTCCAGGGAACAGTTGTTGTTTTAAAACTCACATTTTACAAATTTATTTGTTTATATACTCCCTCTACTTTCAGGGAAAATCACAACATGCTGGGTTGTAAGGTACATGGTAAGCACTCAATAGATACTGGCTGTTGTCAGCTACTAAAGATCTGCTGTGAACCCTAAAGCTTTCAGGAATATGAGCTCTGAACGTGACCTTCAACGACTCTGGGACAGGGAACAGTTTTACTTATTAGTATTCAAAAGAGGATTTATAAAGAAATAAGGTGATGTTTGCACAAGTGGTATCATCCCAAATGAATACAGGTGACTCAGGGTTTCTCTGATTCCCTTTAGTACTGAAAGTATTAATGCCCTCTACCCATTTGAGATAGTTACTCCCAGCAGAGTGTCTGTGGGTTATGCTGAGATGATAGAGACAGGTTCCCATGGGCTTCCCTTCAAGATCAATCTAGAGAATAAAAAAGCAACTGTATTCTAACCTCAGATCTACTGCAGTCCTAACTTAGGAAGCTAGCAATGTTCCACTGCTCTTTAAAAACCCTTGCTTTTTTCATATGAAAATGGAAACAGAAGGTCTACAGACCTTGTGATGGATTTGCCTGTTTGGTGGGCCAGGAGGAGCACTGCCGGAACCCTAGTGACTGAGAGTTTCTACAGATAGTTGATAGGTAATACGCATTCATCTAGATGTATTCAGCTATACTGATGGATCAACTTGTTCATCTGGGACAAAAGTAAGGTGTCTGGCAGTGCTTTCACTTTGATAACCTAATTTGATTTGCTTCTCTCCCCTACCCTTAGAAATAGATGAGGACATAGATTCTAACTGAATTAACTGGTTTGGCAGCAGGATAATTAGTTGCAGTGTTTGAACTGGTTTTTTACTGCCTGCTCACACATTCACAATGGAAACAATTTTCTTAAGTACATGTTCAAGGCAAACAAGGGTCACCTGGTATGGATGTAGCTGTTGAGAGTTAGCTGAGCCTCGTCTTGAAGAGCTGCGATGGCAGCAGCATTCCGGAAACTTCTCAGTTCAGAACCACTGTGTGTAGGAACTAGAAATGAAGATCAGGAAATTGTGAGAAGCAGCACAGGAATGCAGATGGGAAAAGCACTCTCTGGAAGTGGATGGTCAACAAGCAGAAGAACATGCAAGTCCAATGGAATCAGACTAAGAGTATCAGCTCTCTTGAAAGCCATCACCTCTCTTTTGGACTTGGAGATGGCTGAGAGTGAGGACATCATGAGAAGCCCTGGACTGGATGAAGCACAAGCTAGAATCAAGATTGCCAGGAGAAATATCAATAACCTCAGATATGCAGATGACACCACCCTTATGGCAGAAAGCAAAGAGGAACTAAAGAGCTTCTTGATGAAAGTGAAAGAGGAGAGTGAAAAAGCTGGCTTAAAACTCAACATTCAGAAAACTAAGATCATGGCATTTGGTCCCATCACTTCATGGCAAATAGACAGGGAAACAGTGGAAACAGTGAGAGACTTTATTTGGGGGGGCTCCAAAATCACTGCAGATGGTGACTACTGCCATGAAATTAAAAGATGCTTACAACTTGGAAGAAAAGTTATGACCAAACTAGATGGCATATTAAAAAGCAGAGACATTACTTTGCCAACAAAGGTCTGTCTAGTCAAAGCTATGGTTTTTCCAGCAGTCATGTATGGATGTGAGAGTTGGACTATAAAGAAAGCTGAGCACAGAAGAAGATGCTTTTGAACTGTGGTGTTGGAGAAGACTCTTGAGAGTCTCATGGACTGCAAGAAGATCCAACTAGTCCATCCTAAAAGAAATCAGTCCTGAATATTCATTGGAAGGACTGATGCTAAAGCTGAAACTCTAATACTTTGGCCACCTGATGTGAAGAACTAACTCATTTGAAAAGACCCTGGTGTTGGGAAAGATTGAAGATGGGAGAAGAAGGGGACGACAGGGGATAAGATGGTTGGATAGCATCACCGACTCAATTGACATGAGTTTGAGTGAGCTCTGGGAATTGGTGATGGCCAGGGAGGCCTGATGTGCTGCAGTCCATGGGGTCGCAAGGGGTCGGACACAACTGAGTGACTGAACTGAACTGAGTTAGTGAGATGGCTAAACTGGAAGAAGAGACAGCAGTTTGTATCTGCTTACCAGCTTTGAAAGTGACGATGCATTTTAGACAGGCAAATTCAGTAGCATCTAACCGGAGCTGTCTAAACCGAGCCACCACCTCTTGTAAAGCCTGTATTTCAGATATGATCTTGTTCAGCTTCTGGGAATCTGTGTTGTCACCATTCATGCCTAGAATAAAAATATGCAATAAATGCTCTAACATGAAGGCATTTTCATGATTTAATATTGATTTTTGACAAAATCCTGCATATCAATATCTATTCAATTGTCTCTCTAAGATATCTGATTCTATGTAAACTGGCTATATTGTATGAAAGTTAATATAAAATCTTCTCTTGGATAATAACAAACACAGTAATTTGCATTTAAATAACAATGCAAGCAGTCATGAATACAACAAAACAACATTATTTGCATTTAAATATAGATTTATAAATGACAGGTATACTCTATTGTTCAGCAGGAATTTGTTATTCTTTACATGTTGTTCTTTTTTCAGTAATGTATTTTTATGGTAATTTCTACAACAAAGTCATTAAATTGTGCAATTCTTACCAGATACAGCCAGTAGAGTGTTAGCATCAACCGGAATGGCCCATTGTGCTATTCCTAGAACAAACAGTTCTCTCCAAGCATCTTCCAAAAGCATCAGCTGTCATACAATAGATGTATAATATAATATAGTGTGTAATTTATAAATTTATAAACAATTTCAATATGTAAATTTCTATCATTTTTAAGTGTTTTAAATGCCTGTCCTGGTAGTTTTTCCTCTGAATATTTTAGCTTTCCCTTATTTTCTCATATTTTCCTTTTTTAAAAGGTGTCTATACTTGCACATGCACTTGAGGGTCAATCATTCCAATTCCCCCAATTTTGCTTCCCTTGGAAAAGGGTTTACCCTTCTCGTCCTTGCATCCATTTGTTCCTGACTACCTAGAGGTTTCATGGATGACCCAGGCCCTATGAAATGCCAACAACAGGTCAGCAGGCAGATTCCCCTCATAGAAAATGTTGATTATCAGGGTTGAGGATTCCAAACTAACCGTGCTGATGTGGACCCCCATCTTCATGGAGGGTTGAGGGGGCTGGGCTGGGAGAGCGATCACTAATTCCCAAGAGGCATGCAGGGAAATCAGGGTGTAATTATGTTAATTGGGTTTTGCTGAGTTTACCTCATCTCACTGCCTGATTTTTCTGAGACTCATAAGTGGACAGCATCAAGGTGCTTGTCATTTTCATTCTATTGAAATGTGCTACTGAATATTTAAAATAAAAATCTGTCTCCTTTTCTAAATTAATATACTGGATTCCACTTCACTGCAGTTTGCTTGTTGAAGGGTTTCCACTGAAGGGCTAAGTGGCAGATAGTAAGTAAATTTTGTTTGAATTAAGGAGTCTACAAATACTTGTTTTGAGAAAAAATAGCCAACTTACACACACACACACACACACACACAGAGCAAATGGTCAGAGTCTACAAGTAAATCTGGACAAAGATAAAAACTAACCATCTTGAAAAATCTGTTTTTGAAAAATCTCTCAAAAACCAGTAATCCTGGATGATTTATGTGAGAGGATTTCCTTCTGAGTGCTAAGGGCTGAATTGTGAAGGCTTGTAACCAAAATCACAATTAGACCAAAGGGTTTAATTTTCAAAATGCTTTATTTTCAGCTTTATTGCATTAAGTACAGAAAATAATACTTTCAAAATGCAAGGTAAACAATGTCTAATTCTAACCATGTCTGAAAGTCCAGGCCACAAAAGAAAGAATATCCCATGCTGGAAGATTAAATGTTTTGAGCACATTGCCAGGTCTCTCTGTAGGAAACATACTTCATATTAAGGGGCACTATTATGCTTTAATTAGGTTTAAAATGAATTAAAGAAACAAATCCTTTGCTTTTGGAACTACTTATTAGCCTTTAGGGAAATTTGTCATTAATTTCCATGAATATACTGGTAACAGCCAATTTTTGTGAATACTTCATTTTCTTTCTTTCCCTTAAGGATAGAAAAATTATGGCAGAGACCATTTATGATATTCCTAACAATAAAACTTCTGAGTTTTGGTATGACACAATTTTAATAGCACGTACTTTTTTTCTCCATCCTACTGTCATTTACAATCACAGGATTATGCACCAGACCTATTTGCTCACAAAATCTCTAAAAGCATTTAAAGAATCAAGGGAACTGTGCAACACACCCTTTAGTCCTTTATGCTGATACATCAGTGGCCAAAACTGTGAGCATCACAATGAAAAATAAAAGCAGCAAATATAAAATGAGACTAGCTCTCAAAATCTAACCAGGGAATACTCTCATCACCTTCTATTTCTCTCAGTTCCAGTGTTCTTAAGAAAACATTGCTTTATTAACAATTTAAAAAATCATTAAGATTTATGATTTTTAAAATTTGTGATTAAATTTGATGTTCCAATTAAACTAAAAAAGAAAATGATCTTGTATATTTGTTTCTTGCAGATTATATCCAACTTTCCTGAAATAACACAATTACACTCCTTAGTAAGGATTCCATAGCTATATATTTTGAAGTCATAGCAAAAAGCTAAGAAAAATCATTTTCTCACTGCTGTTAAGAATGGATGCCTGTGATTTATCCAAGCAGCACTTAGTTTCACAAGCCTGGCGACTGGTTCTTCTTTCCCAACCCTCTTCCCCCAAGAGCTCAGTGCCCTCTTGGTCCTACCTGGTCTTGCAAAGACAGCGTGGAGAAAGCTGGCACACTCTTAGCCCACTTGATGCTCATAAATAGAAGTCTGGCAGCTGATTCACACACTGACTCTGTGGCCACTTCATAGAGATACATTGGGGTCCCATTCACTTCATGGGGATACTGGGTGGGGAGGAAAGAGAAAAATCAGGGAGTAAGGAAACAACAGCTCTGCAAGAAGAGCCACTGTTAAAGTTTTCTAATTAACCAAGGAAGGAGACAGGAACATCTATAGAGTCTGGGAAATAATAATTATTGGGAGAGGCTCATTCCACTCTTTGGCGGCCTTTTCCACCAAGAGGGGCATGCGGCTATTCTATCCCCTGCAGCAGATTTTCCTCGGGCTGAGCCAAGTGCCAGGCCTGTCTCCCAATTTAGACAAGAGCTTGCACTTGAGTAAATAAAAATAGAAGTGGGGAAAAAAGTATAAATTAATAGGCATCCCAAACACAAATATGCATATGAGTATTTTTAGAAAGGATTAGTATATTATGGAAATATTTCAATTAGACATCTTAATCATTCACAGAGCATTCCCATTCATAACTGACAACATATTCATAACACTACTTTCCCAAGCTTATTATACACATCAAGGGTAAGAAAGCAATATTAAATATTGTGCATGCGCCCAGGTGTTTGGCTTCCCTGCAGTGTGGGGCTGCAGCTGGCCCTTGTCTGGGGGAGATCTGGAGGCCTTCTTGGCCTGGAGTGGGGGTTCTGTGTAGGCACCAGCTGGAAGTCTGGAAGGCAGTCCCTAGGGACACCTTTGGAGGTGGTTCTGGCTGTGGCCCTGCTAGTAGAGGCTCAGTCCTTGTGTATATTCATGTGACTCAGAAGTGGAGTGGGAAATGAAGCCAGGTTCTTCATACTGTCCTAACAGGGTGAACTCCACATTTCTCTCTTGCGTTAAGGACCTTTGTCCAAGAGATTAGATCCCTGCAGTTGCAATTCAAGGTGCTCTTCTGCCAGCTGCAGGCAACTTCTTTCTTCTAAAAACAGCTCTGCTCTTCTGTCCTTCAGGAACACTAGGCTGCCCTCTTAGTTCAGACAGGCTTTCACACTAGAAGTGTTTTCTAAAGGTGCAGGTTCCTGGGCTCCACCTCAAATTTGCTGTAAGGAGGATGGGCCTAGAAGTCCGCAGTTGTAGTCAGCTCAGAGAGTGGCTTGACCACACCCTGAAGCTTGAGAACCTCAGCTCAACAGGGGAGAGTGGCCCGTAGAGGGCTCCCCACAGAGCTCGGCCAAGCACTGAAGGCCCCGCAAGGTCTCTCCCCGTAAGTGTTGTTTGAGCTATCCCAGCTGAGAAAGAATGGGCGTGCCCCTCTCCGCCCTCCACTCTGAACGGCCTCGGGCCCAGCAAGGCCACTGACCTTGGGCGTGGGCTGAGCCAGGCTCACAAGTGTCTGGCGCTCCGGGGTGGCAGACACCGCGGCCAGCTCCAGGCCGTGGGGATCCAGCTGCGTGACCGCGGTGAAGAATGCAGGCGCGGGCAGTGCGGCAGAGGGGAAGTGCGCGGCCGCTCCGTTCTCTTCCTTGTGTCCACGGAAGTAGAGGGCCACCTGCTTGCGGATAGTGGACGTCCGAGGGCCCCGTTCGTGCTGCACGGCTGCAGAAACACACAGACCCGCGCGCGCCCGAGATCAGAGACGTGGCCATTACACAGACGCTGCCGCGCTCTCTGGCCAACCTGCGCGTCTAGGCAGGCAAGGGAACCCGGGGGAGGTGAAGAGAAGCGGGGAGAAGGAACGTGAGGGTGGGAGGGCGCTCTGAGACCTTCTAACCCTTACACTGTTTGCATAAGGAAGCTGAAGCCGAGAAGAGCATCCCGGCCCAAAGTGTCACACTAATGCCTGAGTCTCAGGCAAGACTACGTGCGTTTTGTCTGTTCAGGGCTCCTCCGCGCCCAGGCAGGTTGCAGGGAGACCAGAGATCCTCTGGGCAGGAGTGGCTAGGTCTCGACCGCAATCGAGTGCAGAGGCAGCATTGCAGGAGACTAGCGTTAGATCCCTGGGCCGGGAAGATTCCCTGGAGGAGGAAATGGCAACCCGCTCCAGTATTCTTGCCTGGGAGATCCCATGGATAGAGGAGCCTGGCAGGACTACAGTCAGTCCATGGCGTCGCAAAGAGTAAGCCAGGATTGAGCCATTGAGCGCGCGTTTGCGCGCGCGCACACACAGCGTCTCTTCACAGACTTCCTTCAATCAGCCCGAAGACCACTTCGCCCCACCTCCGTCCCCCGCCCTACTTGGAAATACCACTGGGCCTCGTCGGGCCCGGGAGAAAAGAACCCGAGCCCGGGCCCGCCAGGGCATGGGACGAGGGAAAGCCCTCTCAGAATGTCCTGGAGGAAGGCAAGGGAGATGTGACAATTACCACCAACAGTTTAAACAAACAAATTAATTCAGGGCAATCTTCCGCTCCGCGAGCCTGACAACTTGTCAACACACACGTTCAACAGGTTGGACGCTCCCTCCTGCTTCCTGCGCCGCGGAGGAAGTAACTTCCCCCAGGGAGAGCGGTGTGTACCTCATGGGGATGCCACCCCACCCAGGCCTCCTTCCCGGCAAAGCCCACCCCGCACCCAGTCCTGAGGCTCCGTTCCTCCCTCCTGGCCATGACTCCCGCCCGCTTCCCGGCCTGGGACGCCCTGGCCAGGCCACCACCGGCCACGCCCTTGGATTGCACCCTAAGCCCAAGAAGCATCCTGACGAGCTAGTTCTTGCTGAGCCTTCTGGGAGCTGGGTGTCCGAGGCACCCACTAGGGTTACCTTGCCGCTACAGCCCCTTTCTTCAGGACTGAGAGAAGCCCAGATCACCACAACAGCCGTCCTGATTTTGTGATCTTGGTGAGTCTACAAACAAGGCTAGACATTCTGCCTGTTCATGTCTCTGCCCTTCCTCCTTCAACCAGTCTCCTAGTCCACAGGATATTCTCTACCAGAGACATCCAGACAGCAAGACCCTGTGGGAGGCTAACCTTAAGACTGGCCACAAAAGGGCTGCCAGGAGAGGTGAGAAAAGGAATCTGGATGGGAGATCGGAAACGTCACGTGTGTGTCCCCAGCAGAGTGGGGGCCTCAGGAACGCTGGCCTCGTGGGGATGGTTGTGAGGTGCAAGGGCCCCACGAAGGCATGGGCCTTACCCTGGAGAGTTCAGTGGGGTGGGGCTGGGACTCAAGCCGGGAGATGACTAAAGCCCGAGGCCAGTTCCCAGAGTCTGGAAAGAAATGCTCAGATGATTTACATGCCTTGGAGTGCCATTATTTTCTGTACACATAATTTACTTACTACTCAACCAACATAAGATGAACCAAGAATAAGTAGATTACCATCTTTGTTCATGTTGACTTCCAAACACTTCTTCAGCCGACACGCCCTGCACTGGTTTCTGTGAGTCTTGTCCACCGGGCAGCCTCCCTGGAACAGAGTGCAGGTGGTCAGCGCCCCCCAGGGCCTTTACAGTGGGGACTAGAAGCCGGCGCTGGGTGGAGGAAAACGCGTGGAGGCCGAGTACCGACTCCACCACAGACCACAAAGCGGCAAGCCCGGGTCCGCAAAACGCGAGGGCCTTGGGCACCGGCAGGGCCAGGGGGAGAAAGGCTAGGATTCTCAGAGCTACTTCAACAAAACCAATCCCTGACCCTATGAAAGCAGACAAGAAGGAAAGTCCTGCTCCAAGCAGGTGAAGGGTCAGAGCGACTGGACTGCCAGGCCCCGCTATGCGGGGAGGAGCCCACGAGGGGGAACTTCGCCAGGCGCAGTGGTGGTGGAGCAGGGGCCAGACTTTTCAGGACCGAAGACAGCGACCTGCTCGGGTGGAGGGAGGCTTCAGAGCTCTGTTACCGAGCCAGCTTGCCTGCCCAGATCCCTGCCACATCCCCTTCCAGTGAACTATTCTTTCCGCTTTCAGCTCTTGAGTCTACCTCTTTCTGTCACTCTCTGGGTAAGTCCATTTATCTGTCAGATAAATATTTCATTATTCTCCACTCTCCTCTTTCCTCTCTTGTCTTCGTGTTCGAAGCCATCCAGCTTCGAAGCCAACCAGCAGGTTGAGAGTTGTTTTAAAGATTACCCTCAGCCCAGATTCATAGAAACACAGCCATTCCTGGAAGGTGAGGCAGAAGCCACAGTGGTTAGGAGGGCAAGGCTTACAGATGTAAGGATGGGAAGGGAAGAGCCCAAGGCCTGGACAAATTCTAGAAACGTCCACAATGTAAATATGACCTGAAAGATAATGTGATGGACTGTCTGAAAAAATGATAATATGGACTGAGAATATTAGCATGATAACTGAAAAAATAGAGGTAACTGCTGCCTCAGAAATATTTATCTGAGATGCATGAGAAAATAAACATTTTATCCAGTGCAATTTTCTGGAAAAATATTGGCTATTAAAAGAGGAAAGTATAGAGAAAATTTCTAATGAAATTTATTCAGTGTTAGGCGTTATTACTGAGGGAACATATGTATAGATACATAAAGAGTCATATCTACATGTGTATTTTATACACAGTAAATACTTCTTATGTATTGGTGCTCTCCTCTGTTTTTATTACGTGCTACTGTTACATTTACAGTGGGAAGAAAGATAATAAAATAAATGTATTTTTATTTTGTTCCATAATCTCAAAATTCATATACTCTGAATTTGGAGTAAGCATATTTTTTTGAAATACCCCTTAGGAAAAAATTACACACTCAAACCACAGTTTTATGAGATCACACCCCTTTGATTTGAAATATGTTGATTTATTAAAAATAAAGGTAAAGCAGAAGTTCATAACAATTTCTAAACATTCTCATTACTGTTAATGATGAATTGTAATGCTATTTACCTAATCTTAGAATAAAAAATGGAAATAATTTTTTTTTCCTAACTGAATTCTTCCGGGCATCTTTGCTGGCTAGTGTAATAGCTCAATGTAAAGAAGTTTAAATAGCTCAATGTAATTAAATGCAATCATATGTCTATCCTCAAATGTTATCCTTCTAGTATTCTGATAAACATACTAATGCAAAGTAGAAGCTTACATTAGTTCTTAAGAGTGCCTTCAAATCAGATATACTGTATATAAATATCTGGAGCCTGAGAGAAAGATGCATACCTCGGTTTGGGCCATTTATTCTCTGTGCAAGAAGAGGACCACCATGCCTGATGAGTCTATTATCACTCCTTTACAAGCACTTGGACTGACATCAATATGTTTGAGTTGACAGCCAACCCCTTTGAAAATATCAAGCATAACATCTGAGATTTTGATTCCCCAATTCTGTGCGTTGCATAAAAGATAAAGTGGAGGCCTGCTCAAATCTGATGACCCACAGTAATCCCATATTCCTGTGGAGCTACTGGGCTACAGTTCTGGGTATATATAACTTGGTGTTCAAATGGTGACACAGAAACTGATACAGAGTTATGAACTCAATTAAACAGGTAATAGGGCTGGAGAGTTCAAAATAACTTATCCAAATGCAGTATCTTCTTGTTCTTGTTTCTGTTGATAATCCTAATCTATCAGAACTTGGCATGAGCAGACATAGCTTCAGAAAAAGATAAATAATTCACTAGCAGCAAGCAATATATGTGTAAGTATATCATAGACATTAATATATATACTAATTAGTGAAAATGGTTTTACCATTTTGGTAACCAAAGGATGACTTCTGACCACTGCACTCTCCAGGATCTTCCTGGGAGTGGAGATGGTCATTCTATATTTAGGATCTGTATGCCTGACCAAGGAGAAGGCCAAGAAAGTGTGGGACCAAAGGGCTGACCTTCTGAGCTGGAAACTGAGTCAGGGGGAGGGGTCTGTTCACTCTTTCTGGGAGTTTTAGCTCACACTTAGCCCATGCCCCTACTTTTATGTCTCTTTGAGACAGTTCCTGCTCAAGACCAAAGCATAATCAATGGGGCACCCCTTCTAAGCAGAGAGGAAGAGAAGATATGGGAACCATGAAAAGGCTGTCAGTTACTCCTTCCTTGGGCACCATCTCTTCTTGCTCACTTTGTCCTTTCCTGACAAGGCTCAACTAAATTCACGAGGGTGTTGAAGGCCCACTGCCCACTGCCAAGCAGCCCTGCTTCTCTGAAACTGAAAGGGCACAGTTCTTCATTCAGCACATCCTGTCTGCCCCAACTGGCCAATACTCACTTCACATTTCAACCTTGACTGAGATGCCCTGAGACCCAGGTCACAGCATTGAGCTTGGGTACTGCTAAAAATGGCGGTGGGGTGGCAGGCAACATAAAACAGCCCTTTCACCTGCCTGCACTTGTGGTTTAGATTCTAAATTTCCTTAGATCCTCTGGGTTGGCTTTATAGTCAGAGTACGGGCCTTATCCAGTGTAGAAACCTGTCAGAGGATTTAAAAAAAAAAAGGGCGGGGTGGGGGATTGGAAGAGGACATAAAGAGGCACTGGGATTTCAGCTTTCCTCCTTCAAACTCAGCTCTCTTCCCTTACCTCTTCACACCTTTCCCAAGCAAAAGTGCCACTGAGAGTTGAGGCAGGAAGCAGGGGAGAGGACAGGAGTGGTCAGGGCCTGGTCTCTCCCTAGCAGTTTGGAAACTCAAGAGGAGGCCTTGGCACAAACAAAGGAAGGGGAGGTGGCGGAGGGGAGCCGGGCAGCACAGCCCTGCTAAGGTACCTGGTTTCCAGATTTGCAGACATACGTCCTATTCCTTCGGATACTTCGTTTGAAAAACCCCGAGCAGCCGTCGCAGGCGTAGACCCCGTAGTGTTTCCCCGAGCTTCTGTCGCCACACACTTTACAGGGAATATCTAAAATACGGCCTGAAATCGCAGGAAAGACAAGGAAGGGGTGGGGGTGTGTGTGGAAGGGGTGAGAGAGAGAGAGGAGGGCGGAGAAGGAGGAGGAAAGGGGAGAGGGAGAGAGAGATGCTAAGCAATCTGACCTCCGAAGGGATTAGCACTGAAGCTGCGGTAAAAGCAAATAATGAAGTGATTTTATAGCCAAACTTTTTTTCCTTGAGCAAGTGTCAGTTTCCTACAATGAGCATTATTCATGCACCGCTACATGTATTTGGGTCTCCTCTAATCGCCGAGACCCACTTTGGAATAAAAGATTACAGCAGGCCGGGGCGGCAGCGCGGCCCACTGCTGCCTTTCTGCTCCGCGGAAAGTTTGGCCGCCTCCCTCCCTTGCTCTTGCATTTAACAGAGAAAGTTGTTAGTGAGCGCGCGAGGAGACAAACTTGAAATGTAAAAGGGAAAAGAAGAAAAACAAACACGGCTGGAACCAGGGATGGCAGCTGGAAGGCAATCGAGGTTTCGCTGAGCTGCCGGGCGGTGGTTATTATTAGGATTATTATTGTAATGCTAATACTAGGATTATTAATGATAATAAGGGTAGTGGTAATTGCCCAACTTTCACTTTACCTATTTAAAATAATGCTTGATGGATCGCTTTTGACAATTTCTTTCAGGAAAAAAAATTTTTTTTTTCTCCTCAAAGTAGCACCGAGCTAGGCAAGTAGGGGGAGAGTGTTGTAAGTATGTTGATTTCCTGGCAAGTTAGGGTGGGACAGCACCCCCTCCACTCCCCAGGGTATGCCTACTTGAAGTCCTATCTCCTCACACTACATCCTGTGCGGGGTCCCTTACTCCCGCTTTTTCACCGCTGTCTGAGGCTGATTTTTAAAAGCCATCTGACGTGTTTCTCTTGACTGCCCTCCAACCCCAGTGGCCTTGACAGTCGCTTGACTCAAGGGAAATCTCCTTGGAATCCCCTCAAGCCTGGGGTGACCGCGGAGCCCGGAGAACTGTTTCGGAGAGCGTAAAATTAAAAAACTCAGAAGGAAAGGGACTATATTTCTATAGGGTTCAAGGGTCCAGCAAGACTGAAGCGGTTCACAGAGACTTAGAATTTCCTCCCTCAAACTAAAGTAGTAAATAAAAGGTTAATTAATACTCTGATAATGATGGTGGCGACAGTCAACAATACTACTTAATAATCAACTTCTTTACATTTAATTTTCCCTTTGCCACCGCCTCGAAGGCCTCTAGCCCGGGCCCGGGAGGCCTCCTGCTTGGTCTGGGTGAAGCTGGCAGCTGCTACCGGGAGCACTCGGGCTGGGGACCACTGGGGTGACGGGAGGCGAGGGTGAGGACAGCTGGGCCAGGGGAGTAAGGGAAGCGTGGGTGCAGCGCGGGGAAGACCCGAGGCCTCAGGGTGTAAACTTGCTAGTGGATTCCCAGGCGTCCAGTGGGCGAGCACCTCCGAGCGGGGCCTTGGAGGAGCTGCAGGGGGTGGGGGCGGGGAGAACGAGGGCGGCAGGGTTGGGGAGGGGGGTTTGGTAACCACCAGGCTCAGCTCGGGCAATTACAACCCCGCCATAGCACCTGCCTATAGAGCCACCAGTGACCCGTCAAAAAGAGTAGCATGGGAATTCGGATGGCGACAAAGGCCGGCGGGGGAGGCGCGCGGCGCGGCGACCACCGCCTCGGCGCCCCCTCTCCCACAGGGTGGGAGGAGAGGTTGTGCTGGGGTGGGGCGGGGAGGAGGGAGTTGGAGAGAGCCAGGGGAGGTCACCTCGGGTCTTATCCCTCACCCCTTCGGGCCTGTCATTGCGCCCAAGGGAACTCAACAGCCGCCCAGCAGACGCCCTCATTCTGGAAAGCAGTAAACTTGGTTTCCATGTTTTGCAACCATACTCCTCTGCACAGCACGCTCCCTCTGGCTGAGCTGGGGTCCGTATTTGGGGGTCCAGTCATCTTGTCATCCCCTCTATCCTCCTCTTCCTGGTGGCACTTTTGATGATGCCGAGATAAGCGCGAGGGAGGAGCAGTGGTGAGGGTTCTCTTTTCTGCTTCCTATCCAGAAACGAGGCCAGGGACAGGCATCTCTGGAGAAGCCCGATGGGGTGGGGGACAGACCAGAGGTGTGGGCCATACCTTCGGCCTCCGGGCGCGGGGCTCCTCGCTCCTCGGCCCCCGGGGCCAGCCGGCGCGCCAGGCCGGCCCGGTCCCTGCGCAGACCTCCGGGCCGCGGCTCCCGGGGCACACTAGAAGCCCGCACACCCGTCTGGGGCGGAGCACAGGAGGGAGGACGCGCAAATTCCGAGGCAGAGCGGGTGTGCGCCTCAGACTCCGCCACCCAGCCACGTTAAGGTGACTTGGGTCACGAGACAAGCTGGTTGACCCCGTTGCAAAGCTCCTCTCATTTAGCAAGTCGAGCGAGCTCCGACGTGAGGCAGGCGGGAGTTTCCTGAGGCTGGAAAACCGTTCTTAACTTCCCTCGCCAGGGGGTCCCCTCGGGGCTTTTTGTGTGTCATAATTGCCTAAAGATATATGGCAGCTTCGATTACTGTAATTACCATCAGAGGCTGTTGAAAGAAGTTAGTCTGGGCTGCAGGGGTGACTGGCCGGGGTCTTGTTACCACCCAGGCGGGGCTCCCGGGTGACATCGCTCTGCTCTCCAGCTGTGCGAATCCGAGCGAGGCTGGGGTTGCAGACCTCGCAGCCTGGCTCGGGTCTGACCTCGCCCGCTGCGCGCCGACCTCCTCGCTCCCGGAGCTTGAGGGCTGCAACCCTCGGTCCGGTTGCCGCCACCGGTCTGGAGAAGGCCTGCATGCCGCGGCGCCGCGGGCGGGGGCTGCGGTCCTGCGGCCGAGAAACCTCTGCCGAGACGTCCGGACCAGTGTCAGCCTCGAGGTTTAGGAGGCCCAACTTAGGCTCTTGGGAAGCTGGAAAACTCCAAAGTTTCCCCAGTGGCCCTTGCCTTTTCCCCTAAAAGTCCGAAGGGTCCGCCTGCGTCCTAGGCCATCTGCTGCACTCAGGTGCGGTCCCCAGCGAACCCAGTTCGCGCCCTCCCCTTCTCTCACTTTCGAGGCCTTACTTTTCAAGGCCCCTCAACCCCGGCGACCCTGCACCCTAAGTAAGCGAGGTGCCTTACTTCCAGGGAAAGAGGCAAGGGCCTGTCACAGGGCAAGCAAGCACACCGAGGCCTGCCTAGGACTGTCGGCTTCGGTTTTTGCAATGGAGGCTCGGAATGCACCAGGAAAGCTTTCCTCCTGAGCCTCCTGGGAAAGACAGTCACACGCCAGAACATGGGGCACAAAAAAATGTGCGAGTTCGCCTTCTTTCTCAGAGATTCGAACAGCCAGGGTCAGGTAGGCCCGAGGCACACTGGCAACGCCAGTCCTCCGTCAGGGTCGGCTCTGATTACCCCGGCATCTAAGATCCCTTCTCTCCTCTCTCTGCCTTAGTTCCAAACATTTCTCATTTTTTTCTTTTTGTTCACGTTCACTTTAATCTTTAAAATGGCAGCGCCCAAAACCAAAACGAACGGACAAAGTGAAAACACAACTCACTTCTTGGGAGGGCGGGGAGGAATTGCATCCCACTCAAGTGGGACTTCATTATCAGTCCTCAGAAGTATCTCGGACTCTCCCAACTTTCAAAGACTCGGGACAATAAGGGCGAGTGAGGGGAGGGAGTGTTTGAGGAAACCACAAGCGCCATAAATGCTATAAGCGAAAACAACGGCGGCGGGAGCACTTCGGGACGTGGGGACTTCAGCGGCGGCCACCTTCAGCCGTGGGACCCTGGAAACCGCAGCCCCGGGCCACCGGATGGCGGGAACTGAAATGCCCCCGCAGAGATCCAGCATTGCGGCCGCGCCGGCCCAGCGCCTGCTCTGTCCTGTGCATTCTTGGGTTCCGCAAACACGTTGCACGCAAAAACCCTTGTACATACACTCAGCCCTGCACTTGAGCGTCCAGGGGCGGATAGAGATCAGCGGACTTGGTGTCCCAAGGGAGAGCCTCCAGCTATGCAAGTTTAAGGAAGGAGAGAAGCGCGCGAAGGGAACAGGCCGCACTCTCCTGCCTCTGCCGAGCTCCCGCTCGAAAAGTCCTTGGGATTAGGGATTTGGTCCTCGCCTTGCTAGAGAGGTTCGCCATACTTTAAATTCCCCAGTTTTGACCTACGCGGATTTAGGATTAAGGAAAATGTGACTTTTAAATGGTTTCTCCTTCCCAATTTACAGGATTATTTGAAATAGCTAGAAACGGTGTGCAAAGCATTCCATTCAAAATCCGCTTTGCGCAGAGTTGCTTTTGCGCTCTGGAGCTCGGAGTTTTGAGCGAGCGTGTTATTGTGCTGCCGCCTGGGGCTGCGGCCTAGTTCCCGCCCCCGGCGACTCCCCCCCCCCCTTCTCACCTGGCGGCTAAGTGGAGGCAACTCGCGAGGGACTGGTGGGCTGCCTGGGTCGTAACCTTCCCACCATACCAGAGAGAAGTGGGGAGGGGGGATGTCAAGCAATGCAGAGGTAACGAAATTGTTCATCCCTCACCACGAAAGGCACTGACTCAGTATAGAGGGAGCTGGGCCAAAGCGCCCACACCGCTGGAATCCCTCTCCCGGGCTCGAAGCCTCGGAGAGCCGGGCTCGACCTTCCCGGCCACCCCGCCCGCCCATCCCAGCCTGCGCGCCGGAGCCCCGCTGCGGCCCGATAGGTACCCACTTGTTGATCCGGCTGGCTTGCTCATGCTGGCGGTCCCGGGGCGGAGCGGTTGGTGGGCGCTGCCCGAGTCCCGGCCGGCAACGCCCGCTTCGCCGCCGGGCGCCGCCGCTCTCCAGCCGCCCTCCAGCCTGGGAGGCTCCGGGGCCGGACAGGTGGGTGTCGGTTGCGCGCCGCGCTGCTCCCTGGGCGCTCAGAATTCGTTCCACAGTGGAAATTTAAGCATCCTTAAGTTTCTTCCCGTCTCTTGCAAAACCGCAGCCGCTGAGAATGTTGCTTGGTATGAACACACGTATGTACGGACAAATGGA